AGTGTATCCCAGGGCTTTGTAGATTGAAAAGATGTCTAGTGAGCACACCGTGTTCCTAGAGCACGCCAGGCTTGCCTGTCTCCAAGTGGCTCAACAGTACCAAGCACTTTCCGAAGCCACCACCAGCTGCCGAGCTGGCTCACTGCTGACGGTCTCTAAGTCCTTAATGAATCACAGCCCACGGACAGACTTAAGTTCAGTTAAAAAAGGTCAATAATTGAAATCATATCCTCACAGGTCACTGTGTACTCTTAGAAACAAAGTTAGGTTTCCTTGGGGAAACACTATCGTACTGGATTGAGCATATACCTCTTATCATCCTGTGCCCAGCAAGATGCTGCTATGAGTGGGTGGCTGTTCATGACAGGAGAGCTTGTGAGAATGGTGGAGAGGAAAGGAGGCAGGTGGATGTAGCAGTTTAACTGGGAGTGCACAGTTTGAACAACAGAGTGTTTAGCACTCAGTGGTTTAGAAGAAAGAGTACAGGTTTGGGAGATAGATACACCAGATTCTGAATCTAATTTCTACCACATATTTTGTAATAATTTCTCTAAGCCTCAGCTTTCTCATCTGTAAAATGCACACAAAGCAGATTTCCTTTTAGACATGTTGTGAGGATAAAGACTTGGAATACATGTAAAATAACAGTCTGGTATATAGCAGACTTTCAATATTCCTTTCCCTCTCATCAGTTTCCAGGTTTTTTGCTGACAGCATAGACCAGGAGATTACAGACTTTTTCTGTAAAGGGCAGATAGTAAATATTTTAGTTTTGGTGGGCCAGGAAACAAAATTGAGGATTTTATATATATACTTACATAACAAAAAGAAAACAAATTTTACCAATGTAATAATAGTAGGGGAAAATTTTTCTAATATAGATATGTCTACTAGTGAAAACAAGGTGATTCTTTTTCTGAGGAGACATTTTACTTAATTGGGGTTCAAAGTTAGTGTTCCCTATCATCAAACTGATACCAATGTTCTTCTGTATAAACCATTCTTAACTTGTAGGCCATAAACCAACCAACAAACAAAACAGGTAGCAGGCTAAATTTGGTCCACAAGCCATAGTTTGCCAATTCTTGGCGTAGACTATTTATTAATAATGCCAATCTCTGCTTCTGCTCTGACCCAGCCATCCATGATGAACAAATAATTTGAAATCATAACTGATACATTAACAACTGTTAGAGGGCTACAACCTGGAAAGGATGGAATGATGAAATTTTTAAATGAACTAGCTCTAGGAAGCTTACAGAGTGTTTAGTCTATTTGAGCAAAGAGTCTTTAAAGACTATCTCCTTTTGTGGCTGAAATCTGGAAAACAGTAGGAAGAAATTATCAGGCCACATAAACTGACCACCTATGCAGAGAGATTAAGCCGTGAAAGATCACGGAAAGAAACAGTAACCAAAACAGGTTCTTTCTGCTTTCCATCAAATAATAAATGAACATGCCTGTTTTTAGTGAAGGAGAGCTAAAACTTGACACATAAAGAAAATATCAGAGGGTCCCTTCCTGGTGCTCTTCCTCTGAACTGGATGGCCAGTTAGTGCACAGATGTGAGTCCGAAGAGATAGAACCCGATCAATGGAGATAATGCTTTACAGGCCTCATTGTTGGGATTCACAACAATGGATCCTACTCTGCTGACCAAGGCAGTCGTTAGTAGCATAAGTGAGATGCATTAAGTAATTTTTGGTGTGTAATGATGAGTATGCATTGTCATAAAATCAAGTAAAATAGGTTATTAAGCTTCAATTCTGAAACGAAAAAATAATTCACTAGTCTACCCAGAATCCTGGCACCTACAATGAGGAAGCATGGCAGGAGGATCAAACCGTGGCTTCACCCATGGCAGTGCCTAGATGGCTGTGACAGAAACTGAGGCATACTGCAAAGCTGGGGAGGGCTTTCTGAGCTCAGTGCTTGGGTAAAGCTGAGGCTGCACCTAAGTGGATTTTACAGAGAAGCACAAATGATTAATTCTCAGGTGGGACAAGGAAATCAACATTTTGATGCACATGTTTTCAAAATCTCAGATTTATATTTTCAGAGTGCTGATCACAACAGATTCACTTGAAGAGAAATGAGAAGCAACCTCTGAGTGTGCAAACAAGCATCCCTCATTTTATCTGATTCATATTTACCTAAATTACCCACAAATGTGCTGATGAAAACAGGAGCAAAAGAATATTATGGGGCATATTCTTCACACAAAGGGAACACATATGAGTGGGAAGCTAATATACAGTGGAAATTATCCAGTGGAACAGAGGGGATCAGGGTGAACATTAAAGTGAGGCAATGCGACATCTTTGATAAATGAATTGCCATCCGAGGAACCTATGTGTTTCCTAATATGTGGTGATAGATGAGGTAGAGGGCTGAAACACACTGAGCTAGAAGGGACCAAGGTATATTAGAAAGATCCAAGAAGGAGAGCTAGCCACCTACTATTTGTGTGAGGAAAAGAAATGACACTCAACTACCACACATAATGTGAAATTCATTGAAAATTTGTGGGTGTTACGTGAGTCCGAAATGCCAATGGTGATAAGACTTTTTAGGGCAAGGATTTTAAATTTAAGATAGTCAAATCGGGAAAGTGTTTACACCTTGTAATTAATCTCTCCTTGGGAAAAAATAGCTGTTTATGAGGCAGAAATATTTTAAAATGTGTTGTTTTAGCAGAAGAACAATTTTTAGCCAAATGTATTTAGTGAGTGAGCTTTGGCAGTGGGTTGAAAAATATTTCTTCTCTGAGCTGATGAAGATACATCTTTTCTCCATTTGTGTGTTAAGAGAACACAGAGCAAATGCATTTTCTCTTAGTTTATCTAACAAATTGGGATAAAATACACAATTCACTTAAGAATACATGTCAAAAAGAAAAACAGAAGTGTACTTCCAAGAAAAATTTATTAGATCTCTATTCAAGAAAAACACAATGACCTTTGCTTGTAAGAATTCAAAGTCAATTACTTTGAAAGCCAGGTATGAATATTTTTTCCTTTTAAAATCAGATACAGAGAGTAGAAACAGTAATTTTTTTCTTAAATATGACAGGCAACAGATATTGAAGTATTTTTTCATAAATGGCATCAAAGATTATTATTCATTTATCAGCAAAGCTGCATGCAGTTGACCTAATTTCAAACCCAAAGCTTTTAATGTATAAAGCTGGTCATGAACTTGACAGTAATCAAGTTAGGCTACTCAAAGATGTTTCTTTACTTTCTTCCTAATGAAATTTCTTTTGAATTGATATTTATATACATTTCGGTTTGGCTGCTAAGATTTTTAAGTTCATAAACTTTTGCATAAATGCTATCTTATAGAATCACACTATCAAGGCGTGCTTATGATCTATGGGATATATAAAGGATAATATTTAGCTTAGTTTAAGTGAAGGATAATGACCAAATTAGAAAATTCCCTTGTTTTCTCAACATCTAGGTAGTCTGTACAAAAAAGAGCAAACATATGTACAAAATTCTAGAATCTACGTACATCGTGAAAAGATCAATCACTGTCCACAGAAGAAATGCCATAAAAAGTTTTATCTATAAGATGCTCAAGATCCAAATATGAATAGTTCTTAAGCAAAGTCATAAGAAATACAAAGCTAGTTCTCAGGGTATGTGTAATTCAGGCACTGTCAACCACATTAAATCTTTCAGGCTCCAATATCATTTTGTAAATTTCTACTTCAGGGCAGAAAATATAACCTGAATGATTTAACATTGCCTCTAAAAATTGCCTAATGTATTTCGAGGAAATATTTTACACACACCAGGAAAATCAGGCTCAACATATTCCTGTCCTCAAATGTAGCCAGGATTCTGAGTTCCATAGAAGAAAAATAATTATCATAGTAAAAATAATTGTATTGATCATAATCCTTGCTAAAACCAGCCTTAATACTTGTGATGCTTCTAAAGTACTCTATTTCTATAAAATAACATGTGAGATTCTTTTACATTTCCATAAACTGTACAACATATCATATGGATTGCCTATTCTCATACAATCGCAAATGTATATGTGTACACACAGTGAAAACTTACCTATGAGTATTGCTTACGGATACTTTCAAGTGTCTATATTACAAATCTTTGCACCTCTCACTAACACTGCTTTTATTTAAATTTTATCAGATAAATAAAACACTAAGAGCTCATTGTTCAAGATGCTGATTATTATATTTTAATATAAAATAGCAATGCAATTTTACAACACAATATTTTTTTTGTAGTCTAGCTAAACCTCTTATATTCTCATGATTATTATCAAAAGCTCTTATTCGCTTACTGTTTGCACTTCTAAAAAATACAAAAGAATTGCAGGAAAAGACTCCTGTTTGAAAACTCACATTCAATCAACAAAATCACACACATCCAAATTAACTTTCCTACTGTCGCTTTAGATTCTGGAATCACTGTGCATATTACAACATATAAGTGCAGGCAAACGATAGCTGAAGTACGGTTGTCATATTGCGTCAATCAGGACAGCAGGCAGCGCATGAGAGGAAAATATACTGCCAAGCTAAGAATGTGAAAATGCACACCACAGTCTCTAGTAATAAACCATTTTCTGGTTGCCAGAGGGGAGGACAGCTTCCAAAGTGGACCAGATGAAACACTTTCATTTTTTGCTTCAAATATTTAACCCTTTTGAAGTATGATGACTTTCTTTCCGATCCCAACATATAGACTTTTCAGCTTCGAGCAGAAAAAGTAGGAATATGCACTTTCACATAGAAGCAAGTCTGCCAATTTCCCCAAGGTGCGGAGGCTACCGCTACGTTGCTGGTGGTTCGGTGGCAGGTGGAGATGGTGATGGTGGGTGACTTCCTTTGGAAACGACAAGGCATGACAGCAGGAGGCCTGTGGGAACCTTTCAGGCAAGTTAAGCAGTTGTAGCATAACTTGGACTGTCAGGGTACCTACAGCAGACGGAGTAAGGGCAGTTGTAGCATAACTTGCCTGAAAGGTTCCCGCAGGCCTCCTGCTGTCATGCCTTGTCGTTTGCAGCATAAATAGGAAGGAGAGTGATTCACAGCCTCTTGACATAGTTTCCGGGAAAAGTACCAAAGAATTTGGTTCTTCTTGAGGTTCCTGAAAATAGAGACAATAAATGAAAGGGGAGTAAAACAGAGAAATATCAGTTCATATATGTGGGCTTGAAAACTCTTTATTTACAAGGCTTTGCTAAGAGAGCAAGCCCCGCAGGGTTTGGAAAAGAAGAAAACTCACTTCAAGATGTTAGGAAGACAAAGTAAGCGGTTTGTCTGTACCGCCTGATGCATTCATTGCCTCTTAGGCGTAAATGCTGTGCTTTCATTGCACCAGGCTAAAGAGAAAAGCTCAGCCTCAAGAACTGAAGGGAAAAGCGATCCTGCTGAGGAGGTAGCTTTTTAAAGTAGAGTGATGCTTAAGAATAATCATGCTCCATCATCAAAGCTGCTAGACAAGGATAAAGAATGGATTAGGAAAAACATTTGGGGGGCTACATTTTCAAGTAAAATCTTCTAAATAAAGGTGAGGCCGGCAGTGTGATATAACGGACTGGAAAAAGCACAAGGGCAGTGATCAAGAGGTCGGTCCCATCTCAACATGGGTGTAACACGAAGGCATTATTGGGATCATTGTACTATCCAGTTTTATTATCTCATAGAAGATCATGCTGAATGTCACATGATGCATTTACAAATAGCCCTGCCAGAGTCTCCGATAAAATAGAAAATTTGAACAATTTACAAAGTCACTATAGAAAAAAAGATAAACCCCTATCTGTGGATGGGCTTCTATTATCAGGTATATTTTCTAGTGTGAGCGAAACCAAATGCACAATGGCCATTATTATGATCGCTTTTGATTTCGAATGACATAATTCCTTAGAAATTTTTCGTGAAAGTTGGTGTAGTAAATTCTTCCTCAGGATTTCTAGATCAAACAGAGTGAACAAGGTCTCTGAGTTCTGTGTCTCATTTATGCTCTGCAACTTATTGTCTGGTTTGATGACGGCTTTTCTTTTTCCTTGTGTAGGTGAGCCATTTTACTTTTCTTCTAAGTGGGGAATTAATGGAAACAGAGGCAGAACCTTGTGACTGCAAATGTGGTTGTTGTTCTTTTAACATTTCCCCACTGATTGCCTGTCCATAAACAGCCTTCATTTCCTCATCTTCTGTCTCCTCCATCCTCCATCCTCCTATGCCTTTATTACTTTTTTATCCCTTTCCTTTCTGTCCTGGTATATGATACTCTTGTTTATAAATGTTCTTTCAAGAAATCTCTAGTCTTCTTCTAAGATGGTAAGAATAGGATTGTTTTTTTAAGTGGTCAGAATGGAACTTCTCTCTATTTCTACCACAAATTAAGCTAAGGCAAATCATTGGACTGTCAGGGTACCTACAGCAGACTGAGTAAATGGGTGAATTGTTCACTTCACTTCATTTTCTCAAATTAGATCCTCACTGCTGACAACTGACATTCTCCACTGAACAGCGTATTAATATTTCTTCTCATCTAAAGGACATTTATTGTTTTTGTTCTTAAATCTCAGTCTTTCCTGGTTGGTGCTATTTAAAGAACACTTCTCTCAGTTGAACTGGAAATAAAACTAGCGGAAACTTACATATACCTGAAAGAGTCAATACTAAACTATATTAAAAATACAATTGCCTTGGGAATACACAGTGCATGTGAATGTATGAAAGATCAAAGCCACAATGAAATCAAAGAAAGCTTAACTATCACATCAAGCAAATGAACAAACACAAGCGCATTTAAAATGGCTAAATGTGTCTGAAAGGAAATGTACACATACCCACAAACCATCCGTCATCACATTTTTCCATCACATCAATGACATCACTTTCTCTGAGCTCCAGCTCATCTTCATTCCTAGGAGTATAGTTATACAGAGCCTGAAACCTTAAACAGAACAAATGGATGTTTGAAAAAGATCTTTATAACTTTGTGAAGCTATAGAAAATATACTCTATTAATTTTACTTTCAATATTTCTATTCTTATTAACATATTATAATTAGGTAATATAAGTCTTTGGTAAGCATGGAAAGTAAATAGAAATATTTAGACTCTCGTGGGAATTAAATTACTCTATTAGCGTTTCAAAGCTCACAATGAGGAATATTCATGGAAGATCATACATCCATGTATTGGATTAAAACATTTTAACATTATAAATCAGACCTGCCTTTTAATTGTCCATCTATCATACAGACATTAAATAAAAGTGCAGAATATGAAAGAAATGCTAGGTGCATTACTCCTACGCAAAAACATGGGATTATAGTTTTAGCTGGCCATAATCAGAAGGAAATAATTGCAGCTTGCGAGCTGAATTTTCAAATGATTCTATATTGAGATGTACAAAATGTCTCAGACATGTGTCTTCTAAATCATTGTGTGAGAATTACTATGAAAAAGGTTATTTTTTTTTCACCAGGAGTAATTCTTTAAAGTGGTTTAGCTTCATAGTTTGAATCCGTGTTTACTGAGGATTTAGAATTTGAAAACTTGATATAATTCACTTATGAAATCAGGTGCATGTATTCTATGCTCAATTATCACTGACCTAATCTGAAACAGTAGATTATAGATATCAATTCTTTTTTAAAATGGGTCCCTGAGAAATTGTGTTTGATATAAAAACTCTCTTGACATAATTGCATATAAAAAAGAATTATCGATAGAATGCTACCAGTTTCCTTCCTTGTCTGAATTCTTTGGGAATATATATTTCGTTGACATTAATCGACAACAAATTCAGACATTGAATTTGTGGTAATAAAATAGCTTGTATTTTAATGCATATTAACATGGACTGACATTTTGGAAAGTGAAGGCACAGATTCTAGCAGCTGAGAAGGTCAGGAAGCATGAGCTATGCAGTTAAGATGAAAACTTCATAGCGCTATTAAAATATTACCAATACTGTGAGGAGGATTTTTAAAAATCAGTGAATTTGTTTCTGCTGCTCTTCATAACAGTTATGTTAACTCTGCCAATGCAAGAAAATAGGAACCACATTTCAAGGCACTTTGGATTCTTTAAAGCCAACTTTAAAAAGTTGACAATATTGAATTCTGCTCAAGAACAAGAATGAATTATTTCTAATTACTTCATTCAGTCAGAAAGTTGTGTTTTGGTAGAACAAAACTATTCCATCACTTGAACCCAAGCATCACATCATAAATCAGGAACATGGTTCCCTTGGCTTTCCTCTCTGTCTGAACTTTTTGAGCTTGGGGCACCTGGATAGAGTTGGCTTCCATGGAGGTGTATGGGAAGAGATGCGACGCCCAACACCCTTCCTAGAAAACATTACCTTCCCTGGGCTGGTACCAAAACCCGAAATTCTAACACTAGAGATTTCTTCCCATATTAATATTTTGTCCTCCTAGTAAATCTTTTCAGCCACTTGTACTCTTAAGATTGGGCCTCAGAGGTCTTTTGTTGAGAGATGATTCTGGTTGTACAGAGGAAGGAGAAAGGTAGCCATAATCTCAGAGCAGCGCTGAAAAAGACAAGGAGGTACAGAACACCTGCGTTACTTAGTTTGGGTGTTTGCATGGAGCCAGCCCTGGTGGGAGTCTTCAAATTATTTTGTTTGCTTTAAGGATTTGACTTTGAAGGCTTTTAGGTGAAGGGATGGTATCTTTTGTATATTCATGGGGAAAGTTGATTTCAATATAGTTCCTTTCCAGTTTCACATTTGAGGGAGATAGTCATTCATTCCTGGGCTGCTAATTCAATGGATATAGATCACATTCTGTGATTGAGCTTTTCAGGCTTCGGCTTTCACCCAGGCATGACTCCAACCACGTTCAGAGACAGGCCTCTTAAGGCCACAAACTCCAGCTGCTTGAAGAATCTCAAGGTCCCAAGAGCTAAAAAAACCAAAACTGGCATGAACTCCTACTTCATTTTGGTATGACAAAAGCCAGCATGCTTGTCAAAATTACTTACCATTGTAGTTTAGTTGGACTACAAAAAAAATTAAAAAAAAATTTTTTTTTTAATTGGGAGTTTCATGGAAACATAAACAAACTTCTGGAAATCCTCCTGCCTCTGTCAGCTTTCGAAATCAGTGTTGCACGACAAGAAATGCAGTTGAATTACAATTTAAAAAATGCTATTTTGAAAGATGTGTTGGTGAGATGAATGATGGTGATGGGGTCAGGATGCCTCAAAAGAAATTTGTCTTTTACATAGGGAATGCTCAGCCAAACTTGGAGCTTTCTCTCTAATTTGCAACTTTTTCTCTAACATATTTTACCACAGTTCTGAATTGTAGTGACATTATAACATTATCCCTATTTTCACTCAAAATCTTTTTTTTTTTTTAATGAAAAAGATCAAGCGACATCCCATTGTCCCACTATTCGAGATTGTAATTAAACAGAAATTTAATAAAGAATATTTTGTAATGTTCAAAGCAGGACTGTGAAAATGCGCCTTCTCCCACCTGTAAGCTTTGTGGTTTCATAAACACTCATATGACCTGGATCGAAAGTATTAACTCCATATTACATGAAACAGTGCAACATAAAACATCTATTAATTCATAGAATCCTTAAAAGCTGCTAATATAAAGTGTTGATAATGCAATGAAGCTAAACAGGCCTAGAATTTATTTTTTGTGATATGATCCCATCATCGCTTGTGTAAATAAGGAAACAAACTGAAACTAGAATTACTGGTCATATTTAAAAATTTTCCAGTTAGATGACATTTTAAATGATTCTTATTTCTAATACGTTCTTTTCTAGTCTTTTTCTTAACAAGAAAACCTTCTGGCTATACTCGGTGAGAATGTCTCAGATGAGAGATGATTTCTAAAGGGCATGCTTTTAGCAAAGTGCCGGGTCTGTGAGAAGTGAGGAAGGAATGGGTGGTGATGAAGGCACCTGGCCACACACCAGGCCCTGCCGACTGGCTCTGCTCCAGGAGAGCAGAGATTGGGCAGTGGGCTGGAGGCTTACTGCTTGCTTGTGCTCAGGTACACTGGACGAAGTTCAATTCTGTACATGCCCCTTCCCAGGGGTCTAGCTCCTGACACACAGAATAGGCAGGAGCCAATAGGTAGTATACCAGCTCTGAACATCTCTTATGGGAAAAATGAAGCAGAAAAAGACACACAAAATATGAGAGTCTTAAAGACTTGACTTTTTACGTATCAACAAGGAGAGGGAATTTGAAAGTGTGAAAAGGCATTTAAATGAACAACAGCAAATGTTTTAATACTGCCATTTCCAGAGACTCTTTTCAGAATGTAACTTCGGAATTGTCACCAATTTATCACGTTAGGTCTACTGTTACATTCTCCTGCTCTCCAAATATGTACAAAAACAATGTTAGAACATTTTCCGTGACTGTAAAGCTGTAGTTCTTGGAATCTACATGGTGAGTAGAACAGAGAAGGAGACAGATTCATAAATCTTAGGAATCACTGCAGCATTGGAAGCTTTTTCTAATACATAAATCAAAGTCCTCTCTGTAAAATCATGGGTTTCTTTTTAAAATTAGCTTCTGCTCTCTCTCTATTATAAAAGATGGAGATTATGGCAATTGCTCTTAATCTAGGAGGTTTCATGTTAGCTACTTTGATCTCTTTCACTTACAAAATTGTACCATCCTCTCTATTTTGGTACATCAGTCGTCCATTTTGTGGGTCAAGGTTAGTCTTGAATTTAAAAGATAAGAAGAATACTTACGGTTCCCCCCCACCTTGAATGTTTTCATGAGTGAACACAGGACGCTGTGGCTGAAATGAAATGATTTTCAATGTAATCAATGTTTAAACTGGTACTAATTAAAAGATAATTTGGGTAATGGCATGGTACTTTTCCTGACATTTGATATTTCCTGTTGTAAAAAACCAAGAGGAATTAAAAAAAACAAATAAAGGTTTTCTGCAGGATCAGTAATTAAAATATTTTGAAGAGTGCTTTAAATTAATTCAAAATAACCAAGGTTCAAATGCTTTGAACATATGTACAATCTAGTCTGCTCAAGCTTTAAGGAAACATCAGGGTTTAGTCTCATTGATTTTTCAAAGGCCAGGAATATGGCAAAAACATAGACACCAAACCACTAGAACGAGAAGTCTGGACACCCTCATACAACCTTATTCTTCAGCGTTTTCTCAAACAAGCAGAAAATAAAACACATTCAATCTAACAGCAAAGTATCCGCATTCATTCTAATGTACTTTTTCTTCACAGACAACATTTTCACATATGGTACAGATGAAAATATTGATAGGCAGACATCCCATGCTACATTTGAACTAACACTCTCTGTTCTCAGTGTGGGGAAAACACATGCATTTTTAAAAAGAGAAAACAGAGAACTTTAAATAGAATGCAACGAACAATATCCAGGTAACATGTAACATTTTACCTTAGAAGAGAAATATTGGTAGAAATTCCCAGTGCACTGAACTCTCAAAAGAGTTTCCTTTCTTTTTAAACTAAGCATCAAGACCAGTATCTGTAATAGATACTTATAATATTGGAAATGACAAGCCTTAGCATCCCATATATCCACAAAAATATTGCAATGATGAAAATTAACATGCTAGTTGAATATGTAAAGTTGATGTCCTTTATACCTACTACCTAAATGCTACCTTTTAGGGGGACAAAAATTATAATTCATTCACAACGCATTTCAAAAGGATTCTCTTCTAAATGATGGCTACATGGTAAAATGAGATAAATCAGACTTTGAATGGCAATTATAAAAGTGACTACTTGCTGACTACTGAATTAGTTATTAGGTCCATGGCCTTAAGACATCAGGACTAACTCCTGGATCCCAGAGTTTTGAGTGGATTACTGACAGGCTGGGAATTTCCCCTGCAAATTGTTCATAGAGACCATACTAGCTCAAGAATGGATGGGGGACTCTGCGGTTCCTTTCAGTCTATGGGTCTATAATCTGCTCCTTTCCTAAATTCTTTATCTACTCCTTTCCCACCCAAGCTGTCTATCTAGCGTAAGAAGACTAAGTACTTATATTACTAAAAACTTTAAGCTTTGACTGTATTAATTAAAAGTGTTTACTAACAGTATTCTTAGAAATTTCACTCAATAGTCTGTGCATGGAATATATAAACTTAAGACTAAAGAATGGGTAAAATTGATTGGACACATGTATTACTTAAGAGAGTACAATACTTTACTCCTATAAATCAACACAAAATTACTAAAAATATATCTATTATTAAAATGATAAAATATACTATTGCAAAAATGATTATACCATTTTCAACCATTTTATGGTCATTTAATTCAACATGTTATTAAATCAATTTAAATATATGAAAAGAAGCAAATATGTCATTTATAAGTCTATATGCTATTATATTTCTTCAAGTTCTCATTTAATCATATATATACATAACTTTTATACAGACATAAGATATGTGTATATTAATTGCTATTAATATTTTATAATAATTTTCTAGAAAATCTTCATTCTCATTTTAAGTCACTGCAAATAATTCTCCCTTACATAAATGCATATACATATTTTAAATACTCTTAACCATTTTTCTCTTTTTTGTTTTGAAGTTAAGATTTTCCAGCCTTTTTTAACTATCATAAATAACAATGCTATAAATATTTTATACAGAGAACTATTTTCCTCTTTTGAACCATTCCTTAGAATACATTTCTAAAAGTAAAATTTCTGGTCAAATTATATATTTAAGGCATGTGATATTGAAAATGCTCACATTAATCGTTCAAAAATACAGTGTATAAAAATGTAACTTAAAAAACAATTTAAATGCTGTATTTCAAATCATATACCAAGATAGGTACTATTCTCTCACAGAAACTATCATAACCATTTTTAGTGCATAACAAACTTACAAATGAGAAATATTATGTGTTCTTGTCTTAAGAGAAAATGTTCGTAAAGTATATTTCATTATGTTCTAAACATGGCATGCTTATTTCCACATTAAATCATTCCAATGTTTTACAGTTGAGTGAAAGTTTGACTTTTACATCATGGCATCTGGGGCTTAGAAAAAGCAATTTCATTGCTCCCCTATGTTGAAATGTGAATACAACTTTAAAAATCAGATTTCTCATTAATATGAAACAATCTGCTTTTAAAATTAGTATAGCACATTTTCGTTATCATCATTACAATTTTACTGGTTTAATTCCTTCAATTCAACTCATTTCATAAATCATTTGAGTGACTCATCCCTTTGACAATTATGAAGGGCTGTTGCAGAAGTATGTGACTCCCTTAATTCCATAGGCCTCTATGTGTTAAGAACTTGTGTTCCTGGGTGCACCGGCCAGGATGGCCTTGCTTTCACCTATCTTTCCCAATATGTCTTTTCCTTCATGTCATTTAAAAAGGAGCCTCCCTTCTCTTGTTTTTTATTTTTCTGAATCACCAGTTTTCTATACTGTTTACTCAGGCCAGGATTTATCACAGCTTTTATTAGCAGAGAAGTTGTGTATCTAAAATAACAGTAAGTTTGAGAACTTTTCTAAGTTCCATCTTTAATAGGAGTCATCTCCATGTGAACCTATAACTAGGAACCAGCTTTGAGGAATGATGACATTGCAGTATTTGAACTGATGTATTTTAAAGTATTTGATCAATAGAGGAATAAGTAGCCTTAACAGGTATTTGCAAAGGCACATTTGTGTCTTTCTGGTGTTGGCATTGGCTGTATAACTTTGGATATGCACCTACGCTTCCTTATTTCTAAATCAAGGAGTTAATAAGATGATGATTAAGATCTTGCTTGTTCCCCTCAGGGAATTCACAAAAGAATCCCCATTTCCACAGACATATATGTCTTCTGTTATGTATAGGTGCCATTATCAACCTTACCTAATTCATTAGTTAGAGAGCTATGACAACTCACACTTACTAGTTAATGCTCAAATGTCTCAGTCATTTAAAAAAAATAGTAATAACTTAACTTCATTTTGCAGATCAGTAAACCAAAACCCAAAGATAATTTCTTAATATCAGTAAAAAGAAGTAACGAATTATAATTTTGACTTGCACTCTCTATTGCGTGAAAGATTACTGTAATGAAATAGATGACCTAAGCTGGTTAAAATCAGTATTTTTATTTTGCCTTTTAAGCAATTGTTTATGTTCTGTGTGAATATTTAAGTGAATTATCTTAGGAGGCCATCTTTTTTGCCTTTCTCCTGGTGTCACAACTAGGGGCACAAACCTTGAGGAAAAGATCTGTAATGTATCTGCACTCTACTGCCACCTAATGGTGAGTACTGCAGCAACATGCTAAGAGTTTATGCCTTGGACAGCTTTGACCAAGTTCCTTCAGCCTGGATTCATTTTGAAAGGATATTTTAAAGACCACAGAGAAATGTGGAATAGATAGTCATCTCGTTTTCTTATCGTGTCTTTCCCTTCTTATGTTTAAATTCTTGATAAAGGATCAATTTTTAGGCTCCAGTTACTCATAACTTCTTAGCAGTTTTGTGATAAATATAAAACAATATACATTTGTGACATTCAGAGAGGCTCATGTGAACTGTAAATTTATAAAAGTGGTTTTCAAGTTAACAGATGATAGTGTGCTGGAAGTTTTGGGTGAGAATTATATCATGCTTGTGTTATCGATGAATCTTAAGAGTACAATAAAATTAGAAAATCCAATGAGAGGCATCAGGCTATTTTCATGGAAGCCTGAATATTTACTTTTTTCTTGGCAGTGTAACAACTTTCTTTGCCCTCTTTTAGTGTAGCTATTTCCTAATGTTGTCGAAATGGGTAGAAATGAGACAGGTGTTAAACACACGCTAATTTTTAAAGCCAGAACCAAATCACAAACCACTGATCAAAAAGGAAGCTGGTTTGAAATATCCTAAAATCTCTGGTATCAATAAGATATGTACTTTCCTTGCTCAGACGGTGATACAGTTTGTCTCAAACCCACATATTTATCTATGCAAAGGCATCTCTAGAAGATTAGATAGATTCTTAAATATTTCTTACTTTACATTTATATTTATTTATAAATAAATTCTTTAAAAAGATTGACTGTTACTTTAACTACTAATGTGGGAAAAATCTTTCAAAGAATTATAAGCAGTTCTAGAGTTCTTAAGTCATTTTTTTCCCAGAAAATGTTAGTTGTTCTTGCCAACTAGAATTTGATGAACTTCTAAAACAGTATCATGTTTATGCTTATAGGTTTATTTTTCTTCCTTAAATTATGAAGGTAAAACACAATTTTGCATAAATGTTAAGAATATAGAATATTTATGTCCACACAAACACATATACAAATACATAATGCAAAAATTGGGTAAAGAAAAACATTTAAGGTGACCCAAAGCATACCATCTCATTGACCCATGGGAAATTTGTGAATGAGCCATATTAATTGTGGAAAAGCTTTCTTTTCATTTTGGCTCTGGAAAGTCCTTTTGTGGAGTCTAATAATCTCTTCAAATCAACATTTCTCTTTCTCTTTGGCAACACAAATCTCTGCCTCAGACACAAAACGAGGTCTTACAATACAAAGCAAAAAGCACAAACATAACATAACCACAGAGAAGTGTCTGCAGTTTTAAAAAGCGGAAAAGGAAATCTTTTTGCAATCAAGCCCTTAAAAGGTTGCAGAACCACAGTCCTGTAATAGAGCACGTAAGGTTAAACCAGGTCCATCAAAATAGAAATGTAAAAGAACTGACTTATGCAGAGATGAAAATTCCCAAACTCCTTGGCTGCCTTCCTCAGAATTGATAG